CGTTGAAAAACCGGTCATCAAGCTAATTGTAGAACCCTCTGAGGAACGCCACTTTTCATGACCGGGTCTACATTTGCTACTTACGGTCTGTCCCAATACGACATCAAACCGACATGGAATAGTCTGTACTCGATTTCCAGTTAAACAAGGAAACCTACATGTTTAATGCCACCAAGGGAAAAGTTTTGGGCGGCGTACTATCTGCGGGAAACACTTACACCATTATCAGTCCCCCAGTTTTCATCGAACCTCCAAAGGGAGAACACTTTCTCGGTGCGTATTCCTATAAACTACCCTTAAAAGGCGTCGGAGCTTTTACGGAAGGAAAGCGATCATTTTATTTGGAAAAAGTGATACAAAACAGCTTTTCCAAAGGTTTTTCCATCGGCCCTCGTAAAGATTATAAAAAGTGTCAAGCGCTTTTTTGGAGATTCTTCAACCATTGATGAGGGAGTTATGTTATCTCAGATACAGTATGGGCCACCCACGAAAACATTCCTTGAGCATCACGAAGCTGACACCAACCGAAATTCGTCACTCCATCATAGAAAGTATGTTTGTAGTCTGTGTGTAGCACACCAAAAGTTGCATCCTTTTCCACTCGATATTCGTTCTTCTGCATCATACTACGCTTACTACGTTGTCTAGTCAAATAACTTAATGTATCCCTATCTGACTTACAATTGGAATATCATCCAAGTGTTGCAAACCAGATTGCAGATGAAACTTCACGCTTTCCTCTGGATGAGCTGGATGCTGCGAAAGACTTCTAGTGAGAGCTGGGATTCCATGATTGTATTCAGGTGGGTTATCTTTATCCAAGAAGGGTGATTTACGGGAGGCAAACCATGCAGGTACTGACCTACACCAGGTGTGCCATTTCGTGCGGAATAGCTGACCGGAACCTGGTCATAGGCCCTAACCCTATTGTGTTTTGATACGTGAAATTTCAGTTAATATCTGCTTTAATGGGGATACATTATTAGTAGGTCCATAATATTCTGCATTGTGATCGGTTCCGGTGCTGAGGAACGATAAAACACAGTGAAGGATTTATCCCCGAGGGAACAGCTTGTCGAAATTCAGATAGAAGCTCTAAACCAGTTTGCATTATAGTGTGCCCATCAATCGATGAGAGAAACTGGAAGTGGATACCATCGATCATTTGGGTCTGTTTCACTGGCTGATAGCAAAGTGCTTCTATACCGAATAGCCATCAACCCATATTTTGCGGAAGTTAATGGCAAGATGAAACATGTAATCATTTGGGTTTCACTGGCTGATAGCAAAGTGCTTCTATACCGAATAGCCATCAACCCATATTTTGCGGAAGTTAATGGCAAGATGAAACAAACAATGACCCATACACCACAATTTTGCCTTGCCAATAAGAATTTAAACGGTACTAGTTCCCAATTGCCTGGCCACGGCACCCAATGTCTTTAATATTCTGCTGATATAGACAAGCACGCACTGTACTGTGTAATCGAGCAGTCAATGGAATAAGGGAACGATTGAATTGTTCACCAAGAGAGGGAACCCAGGCGATGCATGCTTATCACGTTCTGGGAGACGAGCGTACGCACAGAACCACTCGGCCTGGAACTGTCGATGGAACTTCTGTGGAATTCTACAACACTGTTTCTCTCTGATTCATTCCGTCAAAAGGTAAAAATTGCGTGATGCCCACAGTTCAAAGTAAATTTGTCGGTCGCATGCGTGGGGCATTCAATACTCATGCTCAAAGGTTATGGTGAAAACAAGTTAAAGACATCCAGCTATACGGCGCTTTGAGGATTCAACTCTAGGGTAGTCGAACAGTTTTCAACTTCTGATTGTCTGCCCCCATCCAAGGACCTACAAATTACACGACAGAATGAAGGTCAACCCAACTGCCTACATACGTGCCTGAGGCAAGACCGTATATTGGGTGGGTTGGTCCACCCACAGCATGCGCCTAAACAGAGTCAGTGATAGGCCATTAGAAATAACCGTGAAGGATATTCAACCTCAGGCTTTGTTCGGCTCCGATTCACTCCCTAATTCCCCTCTGTCCCAATTCACAATAAGCCCATAGCTTCTACCAACGCAGGTTGTTAACCTTGACACCTGCGTACTCTTCAGCGCATGGTTTGTTTGACGTGGTTCGCCCACGCGCGTACGGCCGCGGACCACATTGCCTCATATATTCCCCACACTTTGTATGCCTCCAGACCAGTTAGAGGTCCTTCTCTAATTCGGTTGCGTCTACTTTGTTTCTGTGCAACACAGTCGGCGATTGGCTGAACATGTGCGGTGCACATGGATTCAACAGGTGACAAGTCAAACTCACAGCCGGAGTGCTTTTGGAGACCGATTCGCACTTACTGAGGAGTCGAGCGCCTGAACTGAACAAAAGTTGAGTTCAGTTGAGTAGTTTGAGCAATAGCGCACGAAAAACACTTTATCATGTCCGATGCACTGCAAAGAATTGACCGGAACAAAAAAATCGATTAGCGATATTCTGATTAATATTTTGTGTAGTGTCAAGAAAATAAGGAGTTTACCGCGAACTCTGAACAGCGATGCAGCGTGGTAGTTGCTTAGGCCTGCAAGTTTCCCTGAAATAAGACATGCCTCGCGATTTGTGTTTGGGGATCACGCTTGCTCCGGCGAATGTTCAGAACTTCCTTTCCCAACATCCACAAACCTCTTAACCGATTAGAATGCACAAAAACAACAGATGCAAGTAATCAGAAGGAGAATGAGTGGGTGAGAATGGTAATCATGACGAAATACCTGATCTGGACGGTCTATGGGGCCTGGTTTGCAATCGACACGGTAGAGGGAAAGCAGAAGGTTTGTACGACAGCCGAAGCTACAGTGGAGGATCTCATATGGTTCGGGATTCGATTTCTGCTTCAGAAAAAGACAGACCATCACGTAGTTATGCCAGGAAAAATGACGATCGATTTCTACGCCTATACTCGTCAACAAATTATTATTCCCGTCCCGCATATCTGGTTATCAGCTCTTCCTGGACAGGAAGTTGAGAATGAACCTATTCAGGAGCATGCATATCGTTGAAAAAGACTTCTCGATATCGTGGATGGATGCAAGAAAGAAAGGTAATGTATGGTGGAGGATGGATAAATGGCATCTTCTGTTAACGACCACATATATATATGTCGGCATTCACTTCCAGCTTGAACTGGTTTTTATAGCACTTCGCACCCTCACTGATTACGGAACCCGTGAGTAGTGGTGCTGAAAATTTAATGTCTCAAGAAATACATGTGGCCTTAATGGCGTTTTTTGGAAACTTCCCCAAGGAATAACAAACAAAGGAAGGTGACGAAAATTTGATTCAGATCAAAATGAAGTAAACAAAAATTTAGATTTTCCTACTGAATCCAGCAAAGTGGTGATTGAAATCCATGAGACAAATCACTGGGTGGGACAGAGGGGCCGTCATAAGAAAGGTCTTGTTTCTTGGAAAAGAAAGTTAACTTTTAAGTTTAACTTTTAACTTTTTAAGTTAAAGGAAAGAAATACACTCATCCAGATTGAGGCGTGGCACTTCAGCATATCTCCATCTAAGGGCCCAATACCGTTTAGCATTCTCGAGTTATGGCGAAACCCACTTAATTGGGAATACAATGGCTTACAGGGAACCCATTTCTATAGGAATGCCCACATCCAACCACATCTGGATTGTGTTCAACTGTCCTGTATAGCACATCATATTGTTTCAGAATGACACGAAGTAACAAACGCTTGCCTTACAAAAGTTCACGCAACTGCAACCCACAGGTGTTCCATAGCGATCCGTATGGCCTCCTCTCGTAAACTAAAAGGGTCATTCTTCTACCTCGTTGAATGGTCGACCTTCGAAATTTTACAACTTACAGTCATTGAATAAAAACGCTTTCTTTATATACGAATCAAAAGCTACGTTTAGGGAGAAATTGCGTTTTTCAGAAGTGTTAGTCGTTCTTGCGAGCGGTCAGCAGCTAGAGCGGTTGGACACGAATTTAGTCTGGATTTACCGAGGGAACTACTCACAAGGTTGCTGAAAACTGTTCGACAGCTCACGACCGGTTTCGTCCTTCTTGGTGATATCTCGAATATCGTGCTAACTGAAACATGAGGCGGCCTGTGTGCAGCACATTCAGTTGAAGAATATCATCAACGAGAGGTTCAGTTTAATCTCTCGTCAAAACCAAATTGATTCGCAAATGAGTGTATTTCTCGAAAACTCTTTGCCATGTTTCGAAGGGTTCGAGTTGGGTGTTCGGCCGAAGTGGAATGTAATACTGTCTCGCATAGCCACATTGATCCTTTGTGTATGCAACTCATCGTTTGTCCCACGTAGAAGCCACGCTGCTGCACCTTAAAACTCAGCATCTTGTTTGAAGAGAAACTCGCTCTTTCATTACCCAATCAACACTGTGCCATGACGGAACAAACACCTTTCTTGGGAGGGTCGGGGTTCCAATTACCAACAAAAGTTTTACCAAAAATTGGAGGCAACGGATAACTAGTTTCCTTTTGTGGTATTAACTGATATGCTTAGCATTAAATACAGTAAACAGCGTTCGCCTTTTACTGGTTCCGTACTACTGAGGAATTCACCAACGTTCAACATCTTTTTCGTGTCTTACAGCAGTATATTACACAACGCCCTATAAATGTTCCCGCGCTGTTGCAACGTTTCACACACCCGTTGCTCTCAGTCTGCATCCACTGACACTGGCGTCGCTCGCCATAGCAGCTAGACCAAGGTTTACATTGATTCTGTCTGTTCGGCCAAATGTAGGCAACACCGTCGCCTTGCCTACGCGGCGACACTGGAGCATATTGACGACACAATGGAAGAAAGATCGGTCGGTCGGTCGGTCGGTCGCCGCGCGCGCGCATGCATATGCATCACACCCACACGGACGACCGCCTACCATTGTCAGAACAACTGGTTCAGTTTATCACGTTGGCATGGTTACCTCCGCTCCAGCTTCTCGCCGATGAGCCATGCACGGACGTGCGTCCGTCCGTGTTTGCTTTTCAAGCAGCAGGCAGTAACGCCCAGTCGTCAGCCTGCGCCACGTCGCCGTCTGAACACCGTGCATGCCGGGCTGTCCGTGTCCATCACCACACCATCTGTCCATGGCCTGTCCGCATGCACTCCTCGATCATCAAATGCTGGGACGTCGCACGCATCCGCATGGCGCTCTACCGACGAAACGGATGATCGATAAGGTGAGCGGCGATCGACACTTCCGGCAGTCGAACTAATAATCCAAGTCGCATGGCCAGCTGCGCGCATACACATACGAACGCACGCGCATGGACATCGGATGTGGCCTTCGGCATACGTCTAGGCTGTCAAGACAGACATCAGTGGAGTGGTTATGGTAACACGCTCGCGCGGAGAATCATGGCGGTAGTGAGTGTGGATGGTGAGTAGACGAGTCAATTGTGTAAACAATGCTCTGCTTCCCCACTAGATCTCAGATTTCAGATAAATGGATCGCGGTTCCATTAACTTGACCTGCGGTTCCGAATTGTGAATCCCATTAGCGTCATCCTGTTTGGGTGGGATAAACTGAAGTTAATGTTGTGAGATTCACTCGATCTTAGTTCGAAATCAGGATTTTTTGTAAGAAGCAGGCGTAAGTATTCGGAAAATAGGAGTGGGTATGCATTCACTGTTGCGCCCGCTCATCTTATCTTTGCTCACTAATTCATCACTAATCACAGGCGATTCTCACCTCATGGCGAATCACCAAAAAAGTCTGGAATCTGCAAGAAGATTGAATGTTCTGCTGTTCGTACAAGATTGATTTACTCTTCAGTAGAAATTGATACCACTCATTCCTCAGAAGCGAAAACAAACTACTTGAAGTGACATTCATTGATTCATCGCGTCAAGCACTGTTGACGAACCATCCGTACCATAATCTTGAACTGCCATCCGCAATGGTGTGGGTTCTAATCCTGCGTACTGTTTATTAGACACTTCCGCCGGATGACCCCTAATAGGGATGAGATAGCCATTCAGTGATTCTCGGCTTTTCATCTAAAATGATCTGGTCTACCACAGAGCTCCGGGAAATTATTCGCCAGATGGTGCGAATTCAACTGATGTACGTAGAGTCCTTCATCTTTAACCCTTTATGAACACTGTTCAACTTCACTATTTGGTCTATTCAGCTATTTCCTGTCACGCAGAGGCGAAGCAAAACGCAGTATTCTCCCACCCAAAGTTGGCTTAATTCGCCTCATACTTAGACTTTTCAATTAGGTGAGGTTGAGGAGTGAAGAATTTATTGATTTTCGCGGTCGATCGAGAACTTGACGCAAGTGCTTGTTACACAATCTGGCAACTGACGTCACCCAACAGTGCATCCCACGGGACAACGTCGTCTACCAAACGAACGAAAGAATTTCGTCGGTTTAAAAACACATCCAGCTATCGATTTGAGCCCCAGTCATGCAGCTCAGAACTTAGTGCCACTGACACAAGTGTTTTGGACGGATACGTCAATTTTCTGCACAGAGCCTTGGACCTACACCCTTTTACTGTGGCGCGGCCTGCATAGTTAGGTCACAGTCGCGCAGCAAGAAAAAAGAACATTCACTCAGTACGTGTCGTTTTCCACACTCTGGGCATGATCACTGAAGCGCTGATTCTCATGAAGGCGGTCGAAAACCGGCAGGTTATATCGCTTGGTTTCACAACATCGGGTGTGCGTGACAGAATAGCCATACATAGAGAAGCGCCGAAAAAACCTGCGTGAGTCGATATGTCTTTTCTGACTCTTGACTTTGCGCTACAAGCCCGTGCATCCCCAGGCTTTGCATCGTTCTTCAGAAGCTGGAAGGTATAATGGTATAGTGGGGCTCGGAAATGATGAGACCCGTATTCCTGCATTGAAAACTATTGTACTATTCAGTGAGCAATTCGGTAGTGGTATTAGAAATCAGGTTAATGCGTCATGATAGCTGAGCGACCTGGCCCGCTTTCTAATTTCGGGAGAGAGTATCACTCTCCAAGCCAAATTTTGTGTCTGGTTTGCTTGCCGGTGTGCATTCCGATGCTCAACGGAGCACAAAGTGGCATACAGCGATGAATGCACTATGCGACCTTGAAAGTATATTTAGACGACCTTGAAAATCTCCACACTGTATTCAGTACCGATGTAATCGAATTGGTCGTGCGCTGTTTGTGACATTCGTATGGGCCATGAATAAGATGCCACCCTGAACACAGTCAAGTCTCAAACCAAAAAAGTCCACATTCGAACAACCGGTCGGTTCACCAGATTGATTCAAGTCCTAGGAACAACCAGACACTGAGACTTGAAGTTTCACAAGGAACAGGCTCCAGCCTGACAGTGCGTTGTTCATAACACCGGAATAAAGCTCAAAACCTTTATAAACCAGATCATTCAACCGTTCCAGAGTGATCTAGTAAACAAGAGACTTAGCTTGACTTGGTTGATTGGTTCTCCTTCCGTCTTAAGATTTTTCCGAAGAGGATGTGGATTATTCTAGTGCGTTCAACAAACTCAGACACACACAGCTTTGGTCAAAAATGAGACGTTTCTCAGTTTTTGCGTATCCAGTCTACACACCTGCGTATGCGTTATTTACTTTCTTGAAACTTTCATATATTCTGTTGGGTAGTGACGTATGTTTTGACACCCAGTGCAGCATGAAGTCATCATCACCATCATCATCATCATCATCATCGACAGCATGACATCAGTGTTCAACACAAATGCTTCACTGCCGTACAACCATGATTTATTTGGAAGCCTTATTGTAGAGAAAAGAATAGAGGTGGACGGGAAAGGGACTTAGTGTTGGCTTACTACAATCATTACGAGGTTCCTACACCTCTAAACACTCATTCAGACAATCTGGATAGAAACTGACAATAAGAACGCCACTGACATCGGTTGGCAGTCATATCTTGCACCGTTTCCAATCAGGCGCAGTGAGAATCACGCAGTCCCCATCCTGGAAGGCGAGTGGCAACGACAGCACCCAAACGTTTCCTGATTTATTTCATACCCCTGTGCCAGGTCAAGAATTGGCCACCTCTCTGCTTCCACCACTCTGAGTTGATCATGGAAGACAGCACTCTCTTCGGCAACCGATGGTTCGGAATACGCGACACATGTCCAAACCAACGCAGCTTCCGGTGCTGAACACATTCTTTAATGGAAGTACTCGTTGCACAATCGAAGGCTCGCTCTCTGCCTACCTCGTCATGGATTCGCCGACATCAACCCACACCCACTGATACGACGATTATCGAACATCTGAAGACGTCTCAGTTCCGCTACCCGAACAGGCCATGCAACAAAACAGCCCGCACTACAGCTTGATGCACACGTCCCTTGAGATTCAGGGACGCCATAGGTGTCTCAAATTAACATACGCCACCCGAGCCTTGCAGATTCGTACATTGACCTCATCCGTCACTCTACGTTTGGAACTAATACAACTTCCAAGATACGTAAAAATACTAATAATAACAAAATAAAAATAATACGCGATCGTCCAGCTGTTGCACCCTTTCAGTGCCTAGCCGCCATACCACCTGAAAGATGCTCAAGAGCTCTGAGATCCTGCCGGGTTGCCCAAGCCTGGACAGGAGCCGTCAAGATGCTGAGTTTACTGCCTTTTGGGCAGTAAGTTCGAGCCTTAAGCACTGAACTATCTAGAGCCTAGTGTCACGTACACGTTACCTACTGAACCGGGATCGAAGATCAAACTATGCCTACGCTCGACTTACTTCACATTCAAACAAGCCTCGCACAAGCAAATGAATACAAATCCAGTAGGCATGGCTCCTTATCTTCGTCACACACTCGGTAGCGTTATGGTGGAGACAACTTTTGCAACTAGAATCGTCAGTAAACTTGCTACACTTATTGAATTCTATTCACAACAGGATGAGCGATATATGCATTTGAAAGTGTAGATCGTTCGCTCAGTTTGCTTTCGGACTGCCTTCTTGGAGACAACGGACCAACTTTTGCTGTGCTTTTGTCTTGCTTTGGACAATAAGGTTTTCAGAGCCCTGCTGTGGGGTAACCATCCAGAATCTTGGTTTGGAAACATACTCAGTCAGTTGCAGACAAGATGAAACCCAGAAAACTGTTCAGATCCCCTGTAGTGCACAAAATGCCAGTGAGTTTGTTCGATCTTTTCCAAGTTTAGCCTTGGCCTTAGTCTAGAAATTAGTAACATAACTGGCTTGGTACACTCCGTAGTCTCCACGACTCCAGATCATGGAACTAACTACGTATGTTAATCGGTCTGCATAGGACAGACCAGTAGACAGCTAAACTTGCTAAACTTACAGGACACAAAACGTTTGAGAGCCTTCCACCTTGCAACTCACCGCAATACCCAAAGCTGGAAATAAACCGTAATACTCATTCAGCTGTGGTGCCTAGCTACCATACCACCCGAAGGAGGCATGCGAGCTGAGATAGTGCCAGGCTGCCCACACCGAGATAGAAGCAGTCGAGATGCAACTGTTCGATTTAAACCACGGACCTTCTGACCTGCTGCTTAACCACTTCGAACCTTCGAATTGGAAAAAAATCGCAACGACTGCTCTGTACACCCGGATGAGGAACCACAAGGCCTTGTTACTTGACCAGGCTCAACCATTTCAAACTGCATGTTACGTAAGAGCTTTGGCAGTCGGAACGATGGTCAGTCCGTATCATTTGTGTGAGCAGGACTCACGAATCGCGTCGGTCCGTAGTGTGACTAGTTGACTAGCTGACCAATCAAAAGCAAATGTTTACGTGTTGAACTCACACTGACAAACGCCAGTCGCGCTTCTTTAGTCTTTTGCGGGTAGAGTTGTTTGCTTCAAACGAAGGTCCCTGAAGGCTGGCGCATCAAATCCTTCCCCTTACTGATGCTTTTTCATCACTAATCGACTCGAATATGGTCAAGCCAAGTGTCGAGGTGGGCAAATTTGTGGTCAAGCCCAGCCTCCTTATAAGGGCTATGCGCGCTTGAAAGCTATGCTATAACCACTTATTTTGATTGTCTGAAATGGGTACTGAAATATGTGCTCGAAAGCCACTCAAGAAGTCTTAATAGCGTTCAGAAAGCGGATAAAAGAGGTCACAGAACCACCAGCCCTCGAGCACTGATACAACCTGTGCTTCACACCACATGGTAATTTTAGTATCCAAATCAACCGTCAGTTCGCTGTGTGTGG